GAATACAAAGAATCACTGTCGACAGAGATCAGAAGAACTATAGTCGGTGGGGAACGGAGTTCGGAAGGACCGTTGTCTGACAACGGAGGTCAGAAGGACTGCGTCATGTAGAAGTCCAGAAATGGATTGAAATCCCACCTTGGATAGATGTTCGGCGAAAATCCGACAACGGGTAGAAGTCCGGCGTCGGGTATAAATCTTTCAACGAGTGGAGGTCCGTCGTCGGTTAGAAGTCCGAATTCAGTCGGCGGGGAGAACTCTGACGTTAAATGGTATTCGGGCAAAACTCCAGAGTCACTTGGAGATTGGACAGAACTCCAGCGTCACTTGAAAGTCGGGCGAAACTCCGGCGGCACTTGAAAGTCGTACAGAACTCCGGCGTCACTTGAAAGTTCGGCGGAACTCCGGTGGTGGCCGAGGAGTTTCTTCCCTCATTCTCTTCGTCTCTTCTTCTCTTCTTCTCAGGCGGTGGCCAAGGAGGAGTTTCTTCCCTCAATACTCATTATCAGAACTACTATGGTCAGCAACATTTCTCTTCTTGCTATGTTGGGCCTTGGCGGCATGTGGTAGACAACTCTCTTGCAACATGTCTATGAAGATGAAATGACAGGAATTTGATTGTAAAATGTAGATTTGTTTTTCCAAAAAGTTATGGGTAAAAAGTCATTACAGTTTCGTTGAAATCTCTTAAAAAAATAGGCCTGATTTGGAATCACTTGATGCACTTCAAGGGAGTCGTATGCATGATGTTATGTCCAATAATTTCTTATCCTAGATTACATTTGCACGTATGACAAAATCAAATAGGAAAATGTGCTCCTCTCTGGCTTATTAAAGTTTGGGAAGTAGCATTTTTTTAACTCAGTGGGCAGGCAAGGACAGAGTGGGTCTCAATGGGGATTTATTTTACTTTTAATTATTCACCATAGAAAATCAAAATTGGAGTGAGTTAAAAAGATTTCTTGATCTCTATTGCCAGTAAGGGTCATCGGTGCAGTTTTGAATTTAAGCTTTGATGAAAAGCATTGTATACAAGTTTTAAACAATGGTTTTGGATGTGAAGAACTGGGTCAGAATGCCATATTGCTATTTTATGATTCTGTTATATATTATTCCTAAAATATTTACAAAGTAGGAGGGAGGTCTGGTTCCTTTTGGAGCGGAATACTTATTAAGAACTTGATGGAAGTGAAAGACAAAGAATATGGAAGGCACTGTAATGATTTGACTTCTTCATAGTCTAATTTGCTAGTTGATTTGAGGGTGTGTAAATTCTATTTATGCAGACCCTGTTTACAAGTTCTATGCAGGGTGTGTATAAATCATGTGGCTTCGTTTCATTGGAGCCCAAATGCGTGCTATGTCCGGATTCTGCACCTAATAATTTCTCTGCAAAAAGATGGGTAAGTTGCAGAAACCACTGCTCTAACTCATTTGAAAATGAATCTAATATTAATTTGCAGCGTTTGGATTTGGGTAGATTTCAAGCACATTGTAGATCTGCACATTTGGATGAGAAGATGCTTGAGAAATTTAAGCAACATAACAATCTAAAGAAACTGAGGATAAATGTTTACATGGGTGCCAGGTCTTTAATATTCGCCTTCTTGTAGCACTTTTTGAGAACCTGTACTATATCAAGCATTTCTTGAGAGCATGGATTATCTGCGTTCTTACGTTCTTAGCCTTTCTTCTTTCTACAAACTTCACGGTCATATGGGTTTCATTTACTCAAGTTTTGGATCAAATAAGTCGAGCCTTTGGGAAAGAATGAAAAGAAAATTTTCTCACCCCTTTATTCTATATGTATATTATTTATTGAAGTAACGGAATTGCAGGAAATTTGGCCATCACATCTCTTCTACTTCGTTTATTGTAAGCAGGATGCGTTCTCATATGGATGAAAAAAATCGGTATGAGTCTCTTATCCCACTTTACAATACTGGCAACACAGCTTCTATTTTTCCTCATAATTGGTATGACGTTCATCTGAAATGTTCTCCTTTTCAGATCGGTGGCTGCCTCCTTATATAGAAATATTTTTTGTTTGTTGTGTTTCTTTTTTTTTTTTTTACGAGAGGGCTATGATGAGTCATATGGCCTTAGGGGTTCTCCTGGATGGCCTCTCTTTTGTTATGGTTTTTTACATAGACGAATTAGGCCTAAAAGGGCTGTTTGGCAACAAGCAGGATTTAACTAAGGTTACATTTGGGGCGGCTTTCTTAATCCTTTCTAAAGGAAACTTTTTAGTACAAAAATTTTTGAACCAAGAGGTTTTAGGTTTGACAATCATCTTGTTGAATTGGAAATAACAACGATTTTTTCGGCCAAGTCCTTCCTTTAAATCTGCCAAGTCCATCAAATTTGCCGAACAATAACTATATGATTTAGTAAATCCAAAATTTATTTCAAAAGGAAATTTAGGATTTAATTTGCTTTAAGATGTTTAATTTTTGCGTTTGGTGGCATTTAGCTCAAAATCCTACTACCAAACAGCCCCCAAGTGTTCTTGGCAACCGAGAATCCCTGCACTATGGGTCTAACTGCCTTCTTCTGATGGTAGATTATTGGTCTCTTTCTATTTGCTATGATCTCTCCTTTTATCTTTTTTTCTTTTTTTTGTAGCCTTTCATTATCTTGATTTTTGGTTTGAATTATTATTTTACTTTTTAAATTTTGGTTTTTGGACGTGTTCTCTTTTGCTTTCTTGGCAATTCTGGGTATCGCACTCCATTTAATATAGTTTTCTGAGCCATGATTCTAGTTGGTTCCAAAAAAGAAAAAAATGATGCATCGGAAGAAAAGCTGAGAACCTTGCAGCCTCGTACTTAAACAAAACACCTAAACCAATGTTGTTGCTATATGCCGGATATCATGTATGTATGGATACGATGTATTCACCGACGACTTGCCTTATCAAAAGTTCTCACTCACTATTGGGAGGGGTAATGAACTATAGGAGTATTAGAGGTTTGTGCCTATAAGAAATCAGAACTCAAATCATAAAGTGCCCCAAAATGGGGGAAAACTTTCAACATAAGACAAGGCACTAGCAATTGTTACATCATTTAAAGCCTTTTGCAGCAATAAGAGACTTGACAATTCGAAATTGTGGTGATATCATCTATCACGAGGACTGAAAGATTTGGGAGTACAGAGAATTCCCAGCTCATACTCTACGAACTCATTCTTAAGGATCCATTAGTGTTGCTAATGGAGCCATTGAGCAGTATCACCTCCATTCAAAGGGTAATGATTGGTTGGTTTCTTTTCTAGTTGAGCAGCAGTGGTTTCTGCAAGTTAGCTCATACCGTGTTTTTGGGGAGCTGTTCTTTATGATTCATGTACTCCAAGTCATTGAGAGCCCACAATTGTTGAGAGCCGTGTTATTATGGCCTCCAATTTGTTGCAGCTGGAAGCAAAGTCGAGGACAGCTTGGATCGTGGGGTGGTTCTCTCTCAGCCTTTCCAGCTCCTTCATACCCGTTTTCCATCCGACTTGCTCTTCCAGGTAATCAGAGCAAGCGTTCATGATCTTCTCCATGATTGGACCAAAAAACCATTCCCCCATGGCACCGATGATCGGGGTAGAGAGCAGAACAACTGAGCAATGGGTATTTTACTTATCATAGAAATCCAAAATTTGAGTGAGTTAAAAAGATTTCTGGATCTCTATTGCCAGTAAAGTTTCATAAAGATGATTTGGTCTGAATGTAGGTTGCATCGGGTGTCATTTAGTTGCCCTGGAATGGAGATGAGAATGCTAAGGTGGATGAGTGGCTTTACTCTTTAGACCCTAAACGAGCATGTACGGGAAAGGTTGGAGTAGCCGCAATGACAGATAAGAGTAGAGGGAGTCTCTTTAGATGGTTTTATGAAATAAAATGGTGGGCTTCCGATAACCCGGTTAGGAAGGTAGAATTTATTAAATTTGGCTTATATTAAGAAATGTAGAGGTATACCTAAAAAGTTTTTGTTAGAAAATATTAAAAATGATATGTTTTTATTTGATTTAAATGAGAATTTGATTCTTAATATGACAATGGAGAAAAAAGGATTGATGTAGCCGACCCCACAGTGGGATAAATGTTTGATGTTGTTGTTGGAAATGATTTTATCCCCTGTTCTTCTTTGCTGGTATATGGGCTATGATGTTATTTTGGAAGCCTGTTGCTCTCCCTTTGGATGGCACACTTGGTATCCCTATTCTGCTTCTCCCTTATCCTTACAATGAGTGTTCAACCGGGTAGAGCGCAACCGCTTCATTTGGCTGGCCTCGGTGGAGAAAACTTATCAAGTATTGAAGGCTCAGAAATGGCATCGGTGGTCGACCAAGGGGCCAAACCCTAAGCATCCTTCTATTGTTTTTGGTCAGCTGTTTTTCAAGTTCCATGTACTCCGTTAACTCTAGATGACATCCCCAAATTGTTAGCTCTTCCAAAGAGGGAGGAAGATTCGGTAATTCGCGAAGCATAGGAACGCCAAAATATGTAAGAACCTGAAGAGAAGATAAGCTTTCCAAGGAGGAAGGGAGAGACTGTCAGGATTAGAGTAATGAAAATTGCAGCTTAGAAAGAGAAGACTTAACTTTCAGAAACCACTGCTCCGCCTCATTTGGAAATGAAACCACCTCATCATTATCCTCAATTGTCAAATTTTTTAAGGAGGCGATACTTCAATTCTCACCTTCTCGGGCAAATTTATGTGACGCAAGTTTGTAAGGTTCTTAATGTCAGGTAAAAAATCATCAGCATAAGGTTGGTTTTCCCATGGGCTATCATAGATTATGTATTGCAAGTGATAGAGATTGCTTAGAGATCTTGGCAGCATAGTCAAACTACAACCAACAATCTTTAAGTATCGAAAATGTTTTAAATTTCCAATCTGCTCGGGTATTACTTTCAAGTATGGAGCAAATACGTATAATAACCGTAGGTTTGTCGATGCTTCGAATATTTTTGTAAGTGCACTGCAAATATCCTCATTTTAGGAATCTACAACCTTGAAAATGTGATGGATGTTGAGGAGGCTTGTAGTGCCAAATTATGTCCCAAGAGGAGGCTCACATATTTAATCTTATGTTGGAGTAACACCGATTCGAGGAACATTGATTTAGATGAGGACGTGCTCGACAACTTTCAGCCGCAAAAATGTGTAAGGAATCTGAGCATAAAGAGATACATGGGTGCAAGGTCTGCAATATGGATGAACAATGTCAATCTGATCTCCAATCTCGAGAAAATCGAATTGAAAGATTGCATTGAGTGGGAAACTCTTCCTCCTTTCGGGCAACTTCCTTTCTTTAAGTCTCTAAAACTTTTTAACAAGCTGAAATTAAAATGGCTCGAAGGTAAATTTAATGGGAATGATAAATACCATGCCTTTCCATTGCTAGAGGTGCTACATATTACGAAAGTAAAAGCATTAGAGGATTGGTTTGAGGCAGGAGTAGCTGCTGAAGAAGATGGATGTTTCTTTCCTTGCTTAATTAACTGGTGCTACCGAACTTCCGGAAGTTGAAAGAGTTGCCCTCTTTGCCTTCTAAGCTCAAGAGCTTGGAGATAGAAGGAATTGGGTGGACGACTTTGAATTTTTGTAGCAATTCAAATTCAAATTCTATTCCCCTTGAAACAGTAGCGGTCATTCACTGTCCAAACATCATCTCTCTTCTTCTGCCTGATGAAATAGAATTTGAAAGCTGTTTGTTTTAAAATTCAAAGTTGAAATAGAATTCTGGTTCCTGGTTCTTCGTTCTTCGTGTAGGCTCTTTGTTTTATGTTGGGTTCTTCCCTGCGGCATGCATCTCTCTGTTCTATTTTTGAATTTGACGACTGGGGGGCAATGATGAATGGGTTGCATTCCTTATCCCCTAGGATGGCGGTTTTTATGCAACTTCTATTGGATGGCAATTCCGCAACCGGGGGACATTTTAAGGCTACCTGGATGCAACCTCTAGCTTACCTGAGCCCTATTCTTCAGTCTTCGTGTGGTTGATCTCTCACTGCATTAACAGGCTGTTTTTTTTTCTTTTTTGATCACTTTTTGACATGTGTATCTTTATTTTTGCTCCAATTTGGTGAGCATTTTTAGCCTCTTGTAGTGGCTCCACCCCACAATTTTGCCTTTCTTTTCTCTTCTTTCTTACACGTGTAACTAGCCTTTTAGCATCAATAATAATTGGGCTTTGCCCTAATTTTCCCCAAAAAAAAAAAAAAAAAAATCCTATGTTTTTTTGGAAAACTTTCAGGAAAACAAAGTGAGGAAAATAGCGGAAATGAATATCAAGATTTGATGTGAAAAAATACTAAACCACACTACACTAAGAAATTCAATGTAAAAATTGGGAGAAATTGTACTTTTCTCACACTCGCTTCATATCTCTCTTAGTTCTACACTCAAAATAGATTGATTTTATGAGGGAAAGTGTTTTTGTTGATTCTTGGAATGGTTCTTTTACTTCAGGCTGTGAGTATCATTTCTGTAAGTTATACATCTTCACAGGAGTTGGAGTCTCATGTGACAGTTTTGAATGGATATGGACGATCAAATTAAATTGAACAGAAAAAAAAATTATCTGATTAGGAGGGGAGAAGAAAACTTATCAAGTATTGAAGGCTCAGAAATGGCATCGGTGGTCGACCAAGGGGCCAAACCCTAAGCATCCTTCTCTTGTTTTTGGTCAGCTGTTTTTCAAGTTCCATGTACTCCGTTAACTCTGGATGACATCCCCAAATTGTTAGACCTTCCAAAGAGGGAGGAAGGTTTGGTAATTCCCGAAGCATAGGAACGCCCCAAATATGTAGAACCTGAAGAGAAGATAAGCTTTCCAAGGAGGAAGGGAGAGACTGTCAGGATTAGAGTAATGAAAATTGCAGCTTAGAAAGAGAAGACTTAACTTTCAAAAACCACTGCTCCGCCTCATTTGGAAATGAAACCACCTCATCATTATCCTCAATTCTCAGCTTTTTTAACAAGGCTATACCTCAATTCTCACCTTCTCGGGCAAATTTATGTGACGCAAGTTTGTCAGGTTCTTAATGTCAGGTAAAAAATCATCACCATAAGGTTGGTTTTCCCATGGGCTATCATAGATTATGTATTGCAAGTGATAGAGATTGCTTAGAGATCTTGACAGCATAGTCAAACTACAACCAACAATCTTTAAGTATCGAAGATGTTTTAAATTTCCAATATCCTCAGTATTACTTTCAAGTATGGAGCAAATATGTATAATAACCGTAGGTTTGTCGACGCTTCGATTATTTTTGTAAATGCACTGCAAATATCCTCATCAGAAGCTTTATAGAACAAGAAAAGAGAATGCAAATGTTTAAACTTCTCAATCTTTCTTAAGATGTATGGCTTTTCATTTAGAACAGACAAGTGTCGAATAGTCTCAGAAATTTCGAGAAATGACCTTTCATCATCCAAAGCATCAACGCATTTCTGTGCAAAAAATTTAGATGCTGACTCATGTATTAAATCATGAATCTTGTAGTCATCTATGACAATGCAGTCATATTTGACCTTGTCAAATAAAGTTTTTTTTGAGTAAAACATCAAAATACCTTCCTCCGAAATCCTCCATAGTCATTCCTTGAGGTGGGTGAATGAAATCCACATTTGGAGTAAATCATCTCTATTAAATAGATGATATTGTGGAACATAGTTTCAGCTGTTGCAGAACATAGTTTCAGCTGTTGCATAACATCCCCTCCTCTTGGGAACAATTAGGGTTTGAATAGCTCGAATCATTGCATTGCCTGCTATCTTCTTCTTCCTTCTCTTCCGCTAAATCCGGATTTTCCTAAGGGGCCTAAATCTTGAAAATTCTTTGGTAACATTCATGATAAATCCTATTAAATCCCGTGTGATTGTTTGGCTATCGAACGGATTTAACGAGCGGACACTTCCTCTCTAGCCAACGGATTTTGTAAATCCGAGATTTAGCATGAAAAGGCAAAAATTTTCATCTACGGCGGCTTTCATTTGTCGTGAGATTTGGTTTTGCATTTTAGGCGTTTGACTGGATTTCGCTGAAATCCGCCTCAAATCCTGCTACCAAACTGCCCCCTTAAGTTCCTTAATATTTCTTAATATATATATATATTTTTCTTTTTTTATCTTGCTTCTCTTCATTCTCCTGAATGTCATCTAAGACATAATAACTTCTTGAACTTCTCAGACTTGAGACTCCCTTTCATGAAGTGCTCCAAACGGGGCCTCTTATTTTTAAGAGATTCCAACATATCTGCAATGACTCTTTTCACCTCAAAGTTGCTGTAAGCAAAGGTCCATTGCTGGAGAGAGTCCTAAAATGCTAATGATTATAAAAGATTAAGATCCATTGCTGGAGAGAGTTAAAAAGCTTTCAGGATCTCCATTGGCAGCAAAGGTCATCGGTGGTGTTCTGAATTATAGCTTGAATGAAAGATATTGGGCAAAAGTTTTAAATAGTGATTTTGTAAGTCCAAAATTGGTAAGGAGGACATCTTTCTCATTTTAAGATTGAGCTATTTGTTCCTCCCAAAACATCTACAAAATTGTTTCGCATTTTGTTCTATATTTCAAGAAGATTATAGGTTTGATAAAGATGATTTAGTCAAATGTGGATTGCATTGGGTTTCATTTAGCATCCTCATCATGATCCAGAATGGATTATGGAGGATATTGGAGGAGGGTGTTTTGATGTTTTGGTTAAAAAATCTTTCTTTGATAAGTTTGCATGATGCTACAAGATGCATGATTTAATACATGAATTGACACAATCAGTTTTTATACATGAATGTTTAAGAGTTGAGGATGGTATGAAGTTGCCTTATATAATTCCTAAGACTCTTCGACACTTGGCTATTGAAATTACAAATTCAAACATCATAAAAAAGATTGGTAAATTTAAATATTTGCATTCTCTTATCTTGTTCTATAGAACTTCTAATCAGGATCTTTGTAATGCACTTACTGAAATATTCAAAGCATCGAGAAGCCTACCCTTATTATACATAAGGGCTTCAAAAGACTTGAAAATAATACCCAAAGAGATTGGAAATTTGATACATCTTCGATGCTTAAAAATTGATGGTTATGATTTGACTATGCTGTCAAGATCTCTAAGCAATCTCTATCACTTGCAATACATAATATATTATATCGGAGGGGTGCCAAGCCAATCTAAAGTTGATGATTTTTTACCGAGTAGCACTATTAACCTTTCTAACTTGTGATATGTGAAATTGCCCGAGGATTATATTTCATCGATATGTGGGATTGGGAAGCTAAAGTTTCTTCAAAAATTGAATATTTTTGATCTTAGAGATGCAAGTGGTAATAGAATTGGAGAGCTGGAGAATTTGAATGATCTTTGCAAATTAGGAATCAATTGACTTGAAAATGTTAAGGATGCCGAGGAGGCTTGTAGTGCCAAATTATATGCCAAGAGGAGGCTCACAGATTTAACCTAATGTTGCAGTAACACCGAGTTGAGGAACATTGATTTATATGAGAATGTGCTCGACAACCTTCAGCAACCAAATGTCCAAGGAATCTGAGCATATAGAGAGATACATGAGTGCAAGGTCTCCAATATGGATGAACAATGCCAATCCTATCTTCAATATAGAGAAAATTGAATTGACAGATTGCTTGGAGTGTGAAACTCTTCCACCTTTTGGGCAACTTCCCTACCCCAAGTCACTGACACTTTCTAAAATGCCGAAATTTAAATGGTGCGAAAGTAAATTTAATGGGAATGATAAATACCATGCCTTTTGCTAGAGGTTTGTAGATGAGACACTTTCTAAAATGCCGAAAGTAAAATGGCTCGATAGTAACTTTAATGGGAATGATAAATACCATGCCTTTCCAATTCTAGAGGTGGACGGCTTTAAATTTTTGTAGCAATTCAAATCCTATTCCCCTTGAAACATTAGTTGTCTTTTACTGTTCAAACATTACATCTCTTCCTTTTGCTTATGAAATAGCAAGACTTGCGGCACTAAGATACTTGACAATTATAATTTGCCCCAATCTGATCTCTCTGGGAAGATATAGAGAAGTGGAGACCGCTAATAATTGCCATCTCATGCTCAGCGTTCTCTTTATATAAGTGATCCATCGGTGTTGCTAATGGAGCCATTAGAAGTATCGCCTCCTTAAAAAAGCTGAGTATTTGGTCAAATGAGGAGTTGGTTTCTTTTACAAATGAGTCGGAGCAGTGGTTTGTGAAAGTTAGGTCTTCTCTTTCTGAGCTGAATTTTTTATTTCTCAAATCCTTAGTCTCTCCCTTCCTCCCTTCCTCCCTTCCTCCTTTGGAAAGCTTATCTTCATTTCAGATTCTATATATTTATGCTGTTCCTATGCTTCCGGAATTACCGAACCTTCCTCCCTCTTCGGGAACTACGATGCTGCTCCTGCTTTGCGTTATCTAGAAGATGAAGAAAAGTATTAACCGCGGCTGAAACTTTATTTATTTGCCACCAAGATTGATTGATTCCGCACCTAATAATTTCTCCCCAAAAAGATGGGTTAACTTGCAGAAACCACTGCTCTAACTCCTTTGAAAATGAAACTAACATTAATTTGCAGCGTTTGGATTTGGGAGGATTTCAAACACATTGTAGATCTCGACTTTTGGATGAGAAGGTACTTGAGAATTTTAAACCACATAACTATCTAAAGAAAATGAGGATAAAGGTTTACATGGTGCAGGGTCTTCAATATGTCTTACTGTAGCATTTTTTTTAGAACCTGTTCCATATCAATCATTTCTTGGAGCATGGATTATCTGCGTTCTTACCTTCTTAGCCTTTCTTCTTTCTTCAAACTTCACGTTGGTATGAATGGCAGGAAATATGGCCATCACATATCTTCCACTTCGTCCATTTTAAACAGGAAGCGTTTTCATATGGATGAAAAAAAAAAAGAGCATGAGTCTCTTTTACCTCTCTACAATTTCTATCTTCCTCATAATCGGTACGATGGTCATCTGAAATGTTCCCTTTTTCAGATCGGAGGCTGCTTCCTTATTTAGAAATTTGTTTTTTTTTTTTCCGGAGAGGGCTATGATGAGTTATATGGCCCTAGGGTTTCTCCTGGATGGCCTCTCTTCTGTTCTGTTTTTTTAACATACATGAATTAGGCCTTAAGGGGCTGTTTTGCAACAAGCAGGATTTAATTATTGCTTCGGTTGGGGCGGCTAGTTTAGGGTTTAGGAATCTTTGTCTGTATTGTATCTACAACTTCTTGAGAACCTGGATTGAATGCCTTCTTGCCTTCCTAGCCTATGTTCTCTCCAAAAACTTTACATTTATAGGATTCCTCAGCTCAAGGAATTACCAGACCTCCCTCCCTCCTTGAAATCTCTGTCAATATTTGTATTTTAAATTATCTTAATTAAGCTAATTAAATTAATGTCTAATTAAGAATAAATCTAATCCGCGGGCTGGCTCTCCAGTTCGTTCGCGTGAAGTTCCCGCTTCGGCTTCGCTGGTTCGCGCGGCGTAGAGCTTCGAGCGAGTCAGTTGCCATTGCCTGTCTAGGGTTTGCTTTTCCTCTTCTCTGCATTTATTAATTGCTGTTCTGCTTCTCGTGGCATGTCCAAGCTTCTCCTCTTGCTCCTCCGACATTGTTCCTAACGAAATATCTCCCTTTTCACGCGCTTCTTCGGTCGGGATTCTTTTTCCCTCGCGCCAAAAATGCCGTAAATCCTCCGAACCGAAGGATTTCGTAAATCCGGGTTTTGCATTTTTGGCCGTTTGGCTGGATTTTGCCCAAATCCGCCCCAAATCTAGCCTAAATCCTGCATCGGCTAATTGGCAAACATGTATTCACTGGAATGAGTCCTCTGTGGTCTTCGGGAGATCTATTTCACTGGGAACGAGCTTCAATCTCCTTGTCATGTGCGATTGGACCTTCTCCTTTGTTCTTCTTTACTGCTGTCTGAGCAATGTTCTTTTTATTTATTTATTTAGTGGAAGCTTGTTGCTCTCCCTCTGGATGGCACATTTCAGTGTGCAATCAGGTAGAGCGCTTCGGCTTCCTTCGACTTACCTCTGTGACGGCTTGCTCTGAGCCCATTTTCCCCTGTCTCATGCCCTTTTTTCCTGTCTCATGCCCCTTTTTTTTTCTTTTTTTTTTTTTCACACTGCACTGTATTTTTCGGGCTTCTGGCTATCATGCATGAAGGAAGCGCTGGAAATGATGTGAGAGAACCAGCTCAAGATCCAAGCTGTCGCCTTTGTTTCCTTCCTGGCACATCAGAGAACAACACTGGCATCTCAAGAAATGTCTATGGAAGCTACGAGATGACGCGGATGTGTTCGATGAGCTTGAGTACAGGAAGCATAAGATATTGCTGGCCTAAAACGTGGAGGAATCAAAGGTGTGTTCCATTATGAACTCCATAAAGAAACGATTTGTGAAAATTGCCATGGGATAGGTTTTCTGGGTTGCATGTGATTGGGATGCAAAACCTAGCTCAATGGCACCATTAACAGCACAGATGGATCGTTTATATCTAACTCACTGAGTATAAGCTAGAAATTCTCAGTGGTTTCCTTTTTTTGTAGCCCTCTGGAAGAGATCGGATTGGGGCAATCTGAAGTTGTCAAGTTTCATGTAGCCAACCCCATGTAGTGGGATGAAGGCTAGATGTTGTTGTTGTTGTCTATATACAGTTCAGTTAAGTATGGAAACAAACAGTCAGTCTGTTTTCTCTACTGTTGCATCGAACTAATCCTCTAATACTTCCAATTTCTTAATATGTTGCACCTCTAGTGATGCAAAGACACAATCCTTTTCATTCCCATAAAATTTATTATGAGGAAGGAAAGCTTCCCAAAAAGGTGGAAGAGTTGCCACTCCAAGCATTCATCCAATTGGATATACTCTAGATTTGAGATCAAATGGGCTTTGTTCATACATATTGCAGATTTGGCACCCATGCATTGTTGTGTTGTTAAGGTTTCCAAGCACATTCTCATCTAAGTCAGGATATGCAATTCTAAATCCAAATGCTTGAAATAAGGGAGAATGATGCGCTGGTTTCATTTCCAATTGAAGGTGGTATCTTCTGCAAGTTAGCTTAGCCCTTTGTGAGCTAAATTTTTTATGGCACAAATCCAAGTAGTCTCTCACTTCTTCCTTCCCAAGCCTCTCTTTCCTTAGAAATCTTCATGTGAAAAAATTTCTTCAGTTGCAGCTTCTGTGGAACATCTACTGGCCTCTTTGGAACAATTAGAGCTTGAAGAAGTGTCTTAATAAGTATTCCGCTCCCAAAACTACCAGAACTCTGGCACTCTTTGTATGGACCGTGTCTAGCACTTTTTGAGAACCTGGATTGCCTTCCTTCTTACCTTTCTATCCTTTCTTCTCTCCACTTGCGTAAAATTTTTTTGGTATCTGACCTCAAGAAATTACTTTATGCGACCCACTATTACACAAATGATGCTCACGGTCATGCTATTAATTGGACTGCTCTATCTATGGGAGAAAAGTCAATACAGTTACGTTGGAATCTCTTAAAAAAATAGGCCTGTTTTGGAATCACTTGATGCACTTCAAGGGAGTCGTATGCATGATTTTATGTCCAATAATTTCTTATCCTGGATTACATTTGCACGTATGACAAAATCAATTAGGAAAATGTGCTACTCTCTTTGGCTTTTAAAAGTTTGGGAAGTAAGATTTTTGAAACTCAGTGGGCAGGCAAGGAGAGAGGGGGGCCTCAATGGGGATTTATTTTACTTTTAATTATTCATCATAGAAATCCAAAATGAACCCAAAAAATAGCGGGTCGGGTCGGCGACTTTTCTTCATGCTACGTGGCGCTAAAACGTTGGTGGCCGAACGTAGAGGAGCGTATGTTCACCGAACCAAATAAAAGTTCCATCGGTGCAGTTTTGAATTTAAGCTTTTGATGAAAAACATTGTATAGAAGTTTTAAACAATGGTTTTGGATGTGAAGAACTGGGTCAGAATTCCATATTGCTATTTTATGATTCTGATTATTTCCAAAATATTTACAAAGTAGGAGGGAGGTCTGGTTGTTTTTGGAGCGGAATACTTATTAAGAACTTGATGGAAGTGAAGGATTAAGAATATGGAAGGCACTGCAATGATTTGACTTCTTCATGGTTTAATTTGCTAGTTGTATGTAGGGTATGCAAATTCTACTTATACACACCCTGTGTACAAGTTGTATGCAGGGTGTCTACAAATCATGTGGCTTCATTTTATTGGAGCCCAAATGTGAGCTATGTCTGGATTCTGCACCTGATAATTTCTCCACAAAAAGATGGATTAACTTGCAGAAACCACTGCTCTTTCTCATTTGAAAATGAAAGTAACATTAATTTGCAGTGTTTGGATTTGGGAAGATTTGAAGCAAATTGTAGATCTCGAGTTTTGGAGGTGCTTGAGAATTTTAAACCACAAAACATTCTGAAGAAACTTTGGATATATGTTTACATGGGTGCCAGGTCTTCAATATGTGCCTTCGTATAGCACTTATTGAGAATCTGTACTATATCTAGCATTTCTTGAGAACATGGATTATCTGCGTTCTTACCTTTTTAGCCTTTCTTTTTTCTTACAAATTTCACGTTCATATTGGTCTCATTTACTCAAGTTTTGGATTGAGGTGACTAGATTTTTTTCTTCCTATGAGATTCATTATTACTCAAATGTTGGATCAAATAGAGGCCTGAGCGCTGCATCGTTGAACAATAGATCTAAGATATCTAAAATGTGTACTCTTATTAATGTCTTAATCACCCAAAGTTACAATCCCCTCACTAGGCTTATTGCTACTAAAATTACACTCCATATATTCAATTTTAGATCTACTCGAGCGAAAACCTTTTAGACTCTGAGGTTGACCTCCATAATTCAAGTTTACCTTCAACTTCCTCCTCTAGTTTTATCAACAAAAATAATATTATCAGCAAAAAAACATACACCAAGGTACATCCTCTTGCAAATGTCTAGTGAGAACATCCATGGCTAAAGCAAAAAGATATGGGCTTAAGGTTGATCCTTGATTTTATCCAACCTAAATAGGAAAATCCTTGGTCAACCACCTTGTGTTTGAACACAATACATATCTTTAATGATTTGAATATAAGCTTTATCAATTAAGAACTTGAAACATCTGATAAGAGGAACTTTATGAATTTGTCCTAAGAATGGGGTAACATTGGTGTATAAGATGGAGGACCCTAAAATCCCATGTTTTTTTTAAATATTTTCAGGAAAAGAAAGTAGAAGGGAGGTTTTTTGGAGTGAAATATTTTTTATGAAGGACAGAATATGGAAGGCACTGCAATGATTTGACTTCTTCAAAGTCTAATTTGCTAGTTGAGTTGAGGGTGTGTAAATTCTACTTATACACCCTGTGTACAAGTTGTATGTAGGGTGTGTGCAAATCATGTGGCTTCATCTTAGTGGAGCCCAAATGCGAGCTATGTCCGGATTCCGCACCTAATAATTTCCACAAAAAGATCGGTTAACTTGCAGAAATCACTACTCTAACTCATTCAAAAATGAAACTACCATTAATTTGCAGCGTTTTGATTTGGGAAGATTTCAAGCACATTGTAGACCTCAACTTTTGGATGAGAAGGTGCTTTAGAATTTCAAACCACATAACCATCTAAAGAAACTGAGGATAAATGTTTACATGGGTGCCAGGTCTTCAATATTTGCCTTGTTGTAGCACTTTTTGAGAACCTGTACTATATCTAGCATTTCTTGAAAACATGGATTGTCTGCGTTGTTACCTTCGTAGCCTTTCTTCTTTCTAACAATTTTTGGATCATATGGGTTACATTTATTCAGGTTTTGGATCAAATAAGTCGAGCCTTTGGGAAAGAATGAAAGGAAAATTTTCTCATCCCTTGACGCTATATGTATATTATTTATGGAAGGAACGGAATGGCAGGAAATATGGCAATCACATCTCTCCTACTTCGTCTATTTTAAGCTTTAAGCAGGAAGCGTTCTCATATGGATGAAAAAAAATCGGTAAGAGTCTTTTATCCCTCTTTACAATACTGGCAACACAACTTCTATTTTTCCTCATAATCGGTATGATGTTCATCTGAAATCGGTTGTTTTTTTTTTTAAGAGAGGGCTATGATGAGTCATATGGCCCTAGGGGTTCTCCTGGATGGCCTCTCTTTTCTTATGGTTTTGTACATGCACGAATTAGGTCTTAGGGGGCTGTTTGGTAACAATCAGGATTTAACTAAGGCTTCGTTTGGGGCAGCTTTCTTAATGCTTTATAAAGAAGTTTTTTAGTACAAAAATATTTGAAGAGGTTTTAGGTTTGAAGCTCGTGTGTGCAATGTATGTGTGAACTTGTCTAAATGTAAAAAAAAAAAAAAACAACAACAACAGTTCATTGACAATTATCTTGTTGAATTGGAAGTAACATCGGTTTCTTTGGCCAAGTCCTGCAAATTTGCCGGACCATAGGATTTAGTAAATCTGAAATTTATTGCGAAAGGAAATAGATGATTTAATTTGCTTTAAGATGATTTAATTAGCACCCTAAATGGACCTTTCTTTATTAGATTTAAACGAGAATTTGGCTTTTAATAGGACTCAATGGAGAAAAAGGATTCATGTAGCCGACCCCACGTAGTGGGATAAAGGCTTGATGTTGTTGTTGTTGTTGTTGTATGTTCAATTTTTACGTTTGGTGGCATATAGCTCAAAATCCTGCTACCAAACAGCCCCCAAATGTTCTTGGCAACCGAGAATCCCTGCACTATGGGTCTAACTTCCTTCCTCTGATGGTAGATTATTGGTTTCTTTCTATTTGCTCTGAGCTCTCGGTTTATCTTTTTTTCTTCCTTTGGTTTGAATTACATATCTCACTAATTTTGGTTTTTGGACGTATCGCACTCTTTCATTAATATAGTTTTCTGAGCCATGATTTTTAGTTGGTTCCAAAAAAGAAAAAAAAAAGACGCATCGGAAGAAAAGCTTAGAACTTTGCAGCCTCCTACATAAACCAAACACTTAAACCAATGCTGCTACTATATGCCAGATATCACGTATCTACGGATATGATGTATTCACCGACGACTAGCCTTAATTGAAAGTTTTCACTCGATATCGGGAGGGGTAATTAACTAGAGGGGCTTGCGTATCATAAAGTCCCCTCAAAATGAGGGCGAAATCTCTGTGTAGTGTCTTATTTACATACCCAATCTGCCTTCCCAAAATTTATCTCGGAACCAATTATGTTAAAACTCCCTGAAAAAGCAACGGGCGAGGCCGGTGCTGAATATTCTGAGCCTGCAATCTGATAAGAGGAACTTTATGAATTTGTCCTTAGTTAGGGGTAACATTGGTGTATAAGAGGGAGGGAGGAGGCTAAAATCCCATGCCCTTTTTGGAAAATTTTCAGGAAAACAAAGTGGGAGAGAGGGCTGGTTGGTTTTGGAGCCTAATGCTTATTAAGAACTTGATGGAAATAAAGGACAGAATATTGAAGGCACTGCATTGATATGACTTCTTCAAGGTCTAATTTGCTAGATTTATGTAGGGTGTGTAAATTCTTTTTATACACATCCTGTGTACAAGTTGTTTACAGGGTGTGTGCAAATCATGTGGCTTCATTTGATTGGAGCCCAAATGCGAGCTATGTCTGGATTCTGCACCTAATAATTTCTACACAAAAAGATGGGTTAACTTGCAGAAATCACTGCTCTAACTCATTTGAAAATGAAACTAACATTAATTTGCAGCATTTTGATTTGGGAAGATTTGAAGCACATTGTAGTTCTCGACTTTTGGATGAGAAGGTGCTTTAGAATTTTAAACCACATAACAATCTTAAAGAAACTGAGGATAAATGTTTACATGGGTGCTAGGTCTTCAATATTCGCCTTGTTTTAGCACTTTTTGAGAACCTGTACTATATCAATCATTTCTTGAGAGCATGGATTATCTGCGTTCTTACCTTGTCAGGCTTCTTTCTAACAACTTCACAGTCATATGGGTTTAATTTACTCAAGTTTTGGATCAAATAAGTCGAGCCTTTTGGAAAGAATAAAAGGAAAATTTTCTTATCCCCTTCTGCTATATGTATTTTATTTATGAAGGAATGAAATGGCAGGAAATATGGCCATCACATCTCTTCTATTTCGTCTATTTTAAGTAGGATGCGTTATCATATGCTATGCTTTAAAAAAAAAAAAAAAGTGCATGATTCTGTTAACCTTCTTTACAATATTGGCAACACAACTTCTATTTTTCCTCATAATTGATAATGTTGCAGGCTAGAATATACATGTTGTTATAGTTACAGTTCCACGTCTTAGCGTTGTACGGATATCTAGCTCACACAAAGAGAACACAAAAATTTTTATGTGGAAAACCCTTAAAGGGGGGAAAATTACGGAGTCTAGCCCAGTTGAAAATAATTCCACTAGAATTTGAGTTGAGTACAGTGGGTTGACTTGTTCTCGAGGGTGATCAGATTACAAATGTCAATTGTATGGTTGTAGTCTAGTGACAAACATGGATGAAAGTTCGGCATCAATTGGTGGTCCGGCGGAAGCCCGGTCTTCAGTTGGTGATCTGGCAGATGTCCCGTTGTCAGTCGGTGATCAGGCGGAAGTTCGACATCTGGCGATGGTCCGGCGAAACTCCGACGTCAGGTGGTGTTACGGTAGAACTCTATTGTCAGTTGGTGGTCCGGCGGAACTCTATTGTCAGTTGGTGATCCGGCGGAACTCCATTGTCAGGTGGTGATCCGGTAGAACTCTAGGCGTCTCACGTCTGGTGGTCGAGAGGAGCAAGGGGGCAAGAGCGACCTCCAACCTCTCTCTTGTTTCCTTTTGCTTGGTGTCCCTTTTTTAGAGAGAGGTTTATTTATAGTTCTAGAAAATCAAGGGTATTTTGAGTATTTTGAGAGTGTTTTTTATGGACGGCCAATGTTGATTCCTTTGATCGTGGATCGTTTGTTGGACATTTGAATGTCTTATTGATATCGGAATTTAATGATCTTGGGCTCGTTGATTTTGTTTCGTCGAGCCGCTCGATTCGACTATAAGCATGTCATGTTTGGAAATCGTTTGGTAATACAAATTGTGGTATGAACCTTCCAACAACGATTCGGGTCCTTTTTTTGGACCCATTTGGGCTCGGATTGAGTTGAATTTGGTGTCGTTGGGTTCGTATTTCGAGACATTTAGTTCTTAGAAATACAATATATGGTACGACACGGGCACGACATTATAATTTTTATATTAAGTAAAATATCAAAGCATAATATTTGAAATTACAAAAAAAGGAAAGTAACATCATTTGTAGCCTTGTAGTTTATAATATCAAAATAAAAGTAAACATTATGTCTATTACAACAATAAAAGCATAAACATAAATTGTCTAGCACATGAAGTTTCAACTATTCAATAGACGGAATGAAATGATTGGCTTCTTCAGTGGTTTGTCTTTGAACTTCTATATCATATTCAATAAATATCATAGCTTCTAATTCAGGCTCATCAGGAGACTCAAATCCATCTCGGAAATGAGAGAACCTCGCTCGCTGCCGCAGAAGTAAATATGTCGGGTCTTTTTTCAGATTTTTTTTATTTTCAACGGACACGCGTATCGGATACGTTTGTCCTTTTGAAATTAAATAGTATTTTAGTTGGATACGGCAGAGTCGTATCCGACACGTATCGATGTTGTATCGGAGGCGTATCCGTGTATTAGATACAACACGCCTTCATAAATAGGTGTATCGGTGCAACATAACTCTCTTGCAACATGTCTATGAAGATGAAATGACAGGAATTTGATCTTAAAATGTGGATTTGTTTTCCCAAAAACTTGATGGGAAAAAAGTCATTACCGTTGCATTGGATTCTCTTAAAAAAATAGGTCTGTTTTGGAATCACTTTGATGCACATCGAGGGAGTTGTATGATTGAGGTTATATCCAATAATTTTTTATCCTGGATTACATTTGCAGGCATGACAAAATCAAATAGGAAAATGTGCTCGTCCCTTTGGCTTATAGAAGTTTGGAAAGTAAGATTTTTGTAACTCCGTGGGCTGCAGGCAAGGAGTGAGGGGGCCTCAATGGGGATTTATTTTACTTTTAATTACTCATCATAGAAATCCAAAATTGGAGTGAGTTAAAAAGATTTCTGGATCTCTATTACCAGTAAAGGTAATAGGGCTGTTTTGAATTTAATCTTTGATGAAAAGCATTGTATAGAAGTTTTAAACAATGAGTTTGGATGTGAAGAACTGGGTCAGAATGCCATATTGATATCTTATGATTGTGTTATATTTTACTCCCAAAATATTTACATTTTTTTTTTCTTTTGCATTTTATAGCACATTCGGACAAGATCATAAGTTTCATAAAGATGATTTGGTCTGGATGTATATTGCATCGGGTGTCATTCAGTTGCCCTGGAATGGAGATGAGGCTGAAGGATATTGGAATAATTTATTTTAATGTTTTGGTCAATAAATCTTTTTTTGGCGAGTTCCAAATTGAATATGAAATATAATACAAGATGCATGATTTATTATATAAATTGAATTAGCTTTGTAAATTAAGAACTTGAAAATCTGACAAGAGGAACTTCATGATTTTTTTCTTAGAATGGGGTAACATTTATGCTTCCGCTGTAATTCTGGTTCCTGGTTCTTCGTTCTTCTTGTAGGCTGTTTGTTTTATTTTGGGGTTCTTCCCTGCGGCATGCATCACTCTGTTCTGTTTTTGAATTTGACGACTGGGGGGAAATGATGAATGGGTTGCATTCCTTACCCCTTTGCAATGATGAATGGTCAATAGCATTTTTTTTTGTCAAAAGTGATAAAAAAAAGGATGGCGGTTTTTATGCAACTTCTATTGGATGGCAATTCCGCAACCGGAGGACGGTTTATGGAGGACGGTTTATGGCTACCTGGATGCAACTTCTAGCTTACCTGAGCCCTATTCTTCAGTCTTCCTGTGGCTGATCTTTCACTGCATTAACTTGCTGTTTTTCTCTTTTGATCACTTTTTGACTTGTGTAACTTTATTTTTGCACCATTTTGGCGAGCATATTTAGCCTTCTGGTAGTGGCTCCACCCCACAATTTTGCTTTTCTTTTCTCTTCTTTCTTACACATGTAACTAGTCTTTTAACATCAATGAAAATTGGGCTTTGCCCTTAATTTTCCAAAAAAAAAACCCCTATGTTTTTTTGGAAATTCTCGAGGAAAACAAAGTGGGAGGGAGGTCTGGTTATTTTTGGAGCAGAATACTTTTATGAACTTGATGGAAGTGAAGGACAAAGAATATGGAAGGCACTGCAATTATTTGACTTCTTCAAGGTCTAATTTGCTAGATTTATGAAGGGTGTGTAAATTCTACCTATACACACCCTGTGTACAAGTTGTATGCAAGGTGTGTACAAATTATGTGGCTTTATTTTATTCGAGCCCAGCTGCGAGCTATTTCCGGATTCAACACCTAATAATTTGCCCGAAAAAAGATGAGTTATCTAGCAGAAACTGCTGCTCTAACTCATTTGAAAATGAAACTAACATTAATTCGCAGCGTTTGGATTTGGGAAGATTTCAAGGAAATTGTAGATATCGACTTTTGTATGAGAAGGTCCTTGAGAAATTTATACCACATAACAATATAAAGAAACTGAGGATAAATGTTTACATGAGTGCCAGGTTTTCAATCTGTGCCTTCTTGTAGCTTTTTGAGAACCTGTACTATATCAAGCATTTTTTGAGAGCATGGATCATGTGCGTTCTTACCTTCTTAGCCTTTCTTCTTTCTACAAACTTCACGTTCATATGGGTCTCATTTACTCAAGTTTTGGATTGAGGCTGCTAGATTTTTTTTCTTCCTATGAGACTCATTATTACTCAAATGTTGGATCAAATAAGTCGGGCCTTTGGGTGGGAAAGAATGAAAGGAAAATTTCTCATCCCTTTATGCTGTTTTTATATATTTATGGATGGAACGGAATGGTAGGAAATATGGCCATCACATCTCTTCTACTTCATCCATTTTAAACAGGATTCTTTCTCATATCGATGAAAAAAAAAAAAAGAGTAGAGCATGTGTCTCTTATCCCTCTTTACAATGCTGGCAACGCAACTTCTATTTTTCCTTATAATTGGTACGATGTTCATCAGAAATGTTCTCTTTTTCGGATAGGAAATTTTGTTTGTTTGTTTGTTTTTTTTTTTCCGAGAGGGCTATGTTGAGTCATATTGCCCTAGGGGTTCTCCTGGATGGCCTCTCGTCTGTTGTGTTTGAATTAGGCCTTAAGGGGCTGTTCGGCAACAAGCAGGATTTAACTGAGGATTTGTTTGAGGCGGCTTTTTTAATTCTTTCTAAAGAAGCTTTTTAGTAAAAAATTTCTGAACTAAGAGATTTGTCTATGTATTGTAATTGTGAATTTGTATTAATTAGCTTAAATGCTAAAAAAAAAACAACAGTACGAAATTTATTGCAAAAGGAAATAGAGGATTTAATTTGCTTTAAGATGTTCAATTTATGTGTGTGGTGGCATTTAGCTCAAAATTCTGCTACCAAACAGCCCCCAAGTGTTCTTAGCAACTGAGATTCCCTGCAATATGGGTCTGCCTGCCTTCCTATGATGGCAGATTATTGGTCTCTTTCTATTTGCTCTGAGCTCTCGGTTTCTCTATTTTTCTTTTTTTGTAACCTTTCATTTTCTTGAATCTTTGTACCTTGAAAACATGCCAAAAGTTAAACTACTTGATAATAAATTTCAGAGGGATGACTCGGATTGTGACTTTGCTTCGCTAGAGGTGTTACACATTGAGAGATTAGAAGCATTGGAGGATTGGTTTGACTCAACATTAGCAGCAGCAGATTGTCGTTTTTCCTTGCTTAATTGAACTATACCTGAAGGACTGCCCAAAATTGCAAGAGTTTCCCTCTTTGCCTGCTAAGCTCAGGAAATTATAGATAGATAATTTCGGTTGGAAAACTTTGAACTTGTTACGAGGCACTAGCAATTGTTACATCATTTCTAGTCTTGCAGCAATAAGAAACTTGACAATTCGAAATAGTGGTGATCTCATCTATCTCAAAGGACTGAAAGATTTGGGGACTACAGAGAATTCCCAGCTCTTACTCAACGAACTCTTTATTAAGCATCCATCGGTGTTGCTAATGGAGCTATTAAGCAGTATCACCTCCATTCAAAGGGTAATGATCGGTTGTTTTCTTTTTCAGTTGCGACAGAGCAGTGGTTTCTGCAAGTTAGCTCATACCGTGTTTTTGGGGAGCTGTTCTTTATGCTTAATGTACAACTCATCGAGCACATCATCTACCTCATCAATAGCATCTCGCAGCTGTCATATCCATTTGTTGAGAGCCGTGTTATTATGGCCTCCAATTTTTGCTTGGCTGGAAGCAAAGTCGAGGACAGCTTGGATCGTGAGGTGGTTCTCTCGCAGCCTTGCCCGTCTGTCATCTGACTTGCTCTTCTAGGTAATCAGAGTAAGCGTTCATGATCTTCTCCATGATTGGACCAACAAACCATTCTTCCATGGCACCGATGATCGTGGTAGAGAGAGCAGAACAACCGAACAATGGGTATTTTACTTATCATAGAAATCCAAAATTCTGATCTCTATTGCCATTAAAGTTTCATAAAGATGATTTGGTCTGAATGTAGGTTTCATCTGGTGTCATTCAGTTGCCCTGGAATGGAGACGAGAATACTAAGGTGGATGAGTGGCTTTACTCTTAGATCCTAAACTCTAAATCCTAAACGGGCATGTACGGGAAAGGTTGGAGTAGCTCCAATGACAGATAAGAGTAGAGAGATTTGCTTTAGATGTTTTTATGAAATAAAATGGTGGCCTTCCGATAACTTGGTTAGGAAATTAGATGTATTAGATTTGACTTATATTAAGAAAGGTAGAGGTATACCTAAAAATTTTTTGTTAGAAAATATTAGAAATGATATGTTTTCATTTGATTTAAATGAGAATTTGATTCTTAATATGACAATGGAGAAACAAGGATTTCTGTAGCCGACACTTAGTGGGATAAAGGCTTGATGTTGTTGTTGGAAATGATCTTATCCCCTGTTCTTCTTTGCTGGTATATGGGCAATAATGTTATTTTGGAAGCCGTTCTGCTCTCCCTTTGGATGGCACACTCTTGGTATCCTTATTCTGCTTCTCCCTTACCCTTTCAAGCAGTGTGCAACCGGGTAGAGCGCCTCCACTTCATTTGGCTGGCATCAGCTCTTGCCACATTCCTCATAGTCATTGCAACAACCTAATCATTTATGAGCCCATTTTGCCTTTATATTTTGCCACCCTCTGCTTTTTTCAAATTGATCCCAACTTGAAGAGATTGTGAAGAAACTTTGATAAAGTTTCAGCTGATATTATTAATATTCTTCATCTTTTAGAGATCACAACGTGAGTTGCGCAAAAGATGTGAAACAAGATCATTGCCTAAAAATGAACAGATTGATTAAGGCAAGGAGTTTGTTATGATGTGGATGATGAAGCCATCAAATGAACGTCATACTCATTTTATCGGCACTAATATGTACAGCAACATTTCTCTTCTATCAATGGTCGGTTTTGGTGGTATGCCTAAGACAACTCTCTTGTAAAATGTTTATTAAGAGGAATTTGATCTTAAAATGTAGATACGTGTTTCCAACAACTTGATGTGAAAAGAGTCATTGTAGTCATATTGCAATCTTTATACAATTTAAAGACTCATAACTAATTATTTAATTTCTAGTTTTACTATTAATTATTTAAGTATTTTTTAATAAATTTTTAATTTAATTATATCATTATTTATCTAATTAGTTATTTAAATATTTTATTACTAATTATTAATATTTTATATTATATTACTTAAGCTAAATTAGATGAATTTTTAATTTAGATGGTAGGCTTGCTTTTCATCTTCTCCATTTGTTTGTTGCTGTTGCTTTTCCTCCTGAATTGAAGGTCAAGATGGGAGCTCGCTCGCTATGAAGGTAACCATCTTTTTCCCTTTTTTGCTTGCTTCTACCAAATCCTGGAAATTTGCTTATTGGTCGGATTTAATAAATACGGGATTTAGGACAAAAGGAGGAAAATTAAGTATTTATTTCTTCCGGATTTGACATGTCCTTAAATTACGTTTGGCAGGATTTAGCAATAATCCCTGCATAAATCCTATTTTCAATGCACCTAAGTTATTGAGATGGAGGAAATGTTGAGATTAGAGGGCTTGGAGGAGGTTGCATACTTACAAATCCCCTAAGTGATAGAAAAGTGAAAGAAGCTCACCGTTTTTCATCTACTAGATTTTGCTACATCTTTTTTATATTTTTTTTTATAGATTGGTATGAGATGCTTACGGTCATGCTATTGATTGGACTGCAATATCTATAGGTAGGCTTCAACATAGCGTGCTTTATTCACCGGTGGTTATAACGGTACAATAGTTTTCATGCAAGCCATGAAGTCCCTACGATTGCCTACCGCATATGTCCAGCCTAAATGATAACTTTGTTTTTATGTTTGCGACAAATTAAGATCCATTGGTAAGAAAGGTCATGGATGGTGTTCTAGATTCTAGCTTTAGATGAAATGCATTGGATAAACGTTTTAAAAGAGTTTTTTTCCCAATTGGAAATATTTGTCTACTCAGCACATAGCTCCCTCAGCTTGTTGAATATATTGCTTATAATTTCAGTGGTGGAAATGCTCCAAATTTATACTTCTAATTTTGATTGTTATGGTTGTTATTGTGGGTTCATTTGATTTTTTTTATTCTCTATGGGAATGATCTTCTCCCCTGTTCTTCTTTGCCGGTATCTGGGAAATGATGATATTTTGAAAGCCTTTTGCTCTCCCTTTGGATGGCACACTTGGTGTCCCTATTTTATGGGGCCCTTAACATCAGCGTGCAAGCGGGTAGAGCGCCTGCGCTTCATTTTGCTGGCATCGGCTCTTGCCAGATTCCTGATAATCTCTGATAGAACCTGATCATTTCTGAGCCCATTTTACCTTGTCTTATACTCTCGATATTTTTTTTGAGTTGATCCCAACTTGAATAGACAGGAGGGGTTTTTGAAGAAACTTGACAAAGTGTCAGCTGATGTTGTTAGGTTCCTTCATCTTTTAGAAAGCACATACCAGGAGCGACAATGTAAGTTGTGCAAAAGATGTGAAACAAGTTCTTTGCCTAAAAATGATCAGATTGGTTGAGGCAAGCAGGTGTTTGCTATTATTATGTGGTTGGGGCTATTATATGTAATATCTGATTGTGTTGATAAATCGGGTTATTTTGTTGCCTCGAATTGTTCTGTTTACTCATCCCCAATAGAGACAGACGTCAAATGAACATCATACTTGTTGCATCCTTGAGTATTTGCGGCGGTAGAGAAATATAACATTTAACGTCTTAACTTTGTACGAAGATCCTGCACACAATCAGATAGGAGAGAGGGTGTAGCATTTATGAGACATCAATATTTTTACGTGGAAGCCTATGAAAAAGTGGAAAAAATCACGGGGCCTAATCCATTATGAATGAATCCACTAGTATTTGCAGTTGATTACAAATGAGGCCCTTCTTTAGGGGAAGGCCTTAGCTTTATGTGCATCTTATAGAGTACATTACATGGTGGAAATGCTAAGAATCACTATTAACAGAGATCGTAAGAACTATAGTCGGTGGGTGATGGAGGTCGAAAGGACCGTTGTCTGACAACGAAGGTCAGAAGGACGGCGTCAGGTAGAAGTTTAGCAATGGATAGAAATCGCACATTGGATAGCTGTCCAGCTAAAATCCGACAATGGGTAGAAGTCCAGCGTCGGGTAGAAATCTGGCGACGAGTGGAGATTCGTCGTCGATTAGAAGTCCGAATTCAGTCGGTGGCCAGGGAGAACTCCGACGTTAGATGGTATTCGAGCAAAACTCCAGGGTCACTTGGAGATCGGACATAACTCTGACGTCGCTTGAAAGTCGGGCGGAACTCCGGCGGCACTTGAAAGTCGGGCAGAACAGCGGCGTCCGGCGTTACTTGAAAGTTGGGCGGAACTCCGGCGTTACGTGAAAGTTGGCGTCGCTTGAGTCCGGCGGAACTCCGGTGGTTGCCGAGGAGTTTCTTCCCTCATTCTCTTCTCTCTTCTCCTCATGCGGTGGCTGAGGAGTTTCTTCCCTCAATACTCATTATCAGAACTACTATGGTCAGCAACATTTCTCTTCTTGCTATTTTGGGCCTTGGCGGTATGGGGAAGACAACTCTCTTCCAACATGTCTGTGAAGATGAAGTAACAGGAATTTGATCGTAAAATGTAGATTTGTTTTTCCAAAATCTTTTATGGGAAAAAAGTCATTACAGTTACGTTGGAATCTCTTAAAAAAATAGGCCTGTTTTGGACACTTGATGCACTTCAAGGTAGTCGTATGCATGTTGGTATGTCCAATAATTTCTTATCCTAGATTACATTTGCTTTTATGACAAAATCAAATAGGAAAATGTGCTCCTCTCTTTGGCTTATCAAAGTTTGGGAAGTAAGATTTTTGTAACTCAGTGGGAAGGCAAGGAGAGAGTGGGCCTCAATGGGGATTTATTTTACTTTTAATTATTCACATAGAAAATCAAAATTGGAGTGAGTTAAAAAGATTTCTTGTTCTCTATTGCCAGTAAGGGTCATCGGTGCAGTTTTGAATTTAAGCTTTGATGAAAAGCATTGTATAGAAGTTTTAAACAATGGTTTTGGATGTGAAGAACTGGGTCAGAATGCCATATTTCTATTTTATGATTCTGTTATAAATTATTCCCAAAATATTTACAACGTAGGAGGAAGGTCTGGTTGTTTTTGGAGCGGAATACTTATTAAGAACTTGATGGAAATGATTTGATTTCTTCAGTCTAATTTGCTTGTTGATTTGAGGGTGTGTAAATTCTACTTATACACACCCTGTGTACAAGTTATATGCAGGGTGTGTACAAATCATGTGCTTCATTTCATCGGAGCTCAAATGCGAGCTATGTCCGGATTCCGCACCTAATAATTTCTCCACAAAAAAGATGGGTTAACTTGCAGAAACCGCTTTTCGAAAATGAAACTAACATTAATTTGCAGCTTTTGAATTTGGGGATTTCAAGCGCATTGTAGATCTGACTTTAGGATGAGAAGGTGCTTGAGAATATCAAACCACATAACCATCTAAAGAAACTGAGGATAAATGTTTACATGGGTGCCAGGTTTTCAACATGTGCCTTCTTGTAGCACTTTTTGAGAACCTGTACTATATCAAGCTTTTCTTTAGAGCATGGATTATCTGCGTTCTTTCCTTGTTAGCATTTCTTATTTCTACGAATTTCACGGTCATATGGGTGTCATTTACTCAAGTTTTGGGAAAGAATGAGGCTGTTTGGCAACAAGCGGGATTTAACTAAGGCTTCGTTGCGGCTTTTTTAATGCTTTCTAAAGAAGTTTTTTAGTACAAAAATTTCTGAACAAAAACAACAGTACGAAGACAATCATCTTGTAGAATTAGAAGTAACAACGGTTTCTTTGGCCAAGTGCTGCAAATTTGCTGGACTATAGGATTTAGTAATTCAGAAATTTATTACAAAGGAAATAGAGGATTTAATTTGCTTTAAGTTGTTCAAATTTTACGTTTGGTGGCATTTAGCTCAAAATCCTGCTACCAAACAGCCCCAAGTGTTCTTGGCAACCGAGAATCCCTGCACTATGGGTCTAACTGCCTTCCTCTGATGGCAGATCATTGGTCTCTTTCTATTTGCTCTGAGCTCTCTGTTTATCTTTTTATCTTTTTTTTTTTTTTTTTGTAAACTTTTATTTTCTTGATCTTTGGTTTGAATTATTATTTTACCTGTAAAAAATTTTGGTTTCGGGCATTCTGTTTTTTTTATCATAACATTTGACTAATTGTTTTTTAATTGATTTCATGTAATTGGCTGAATTGAAATGAAAAATCTTACATAATATTTTGATCTACTTAATTATTGATTAATGAGAGAAAAACTGAAATATTTGAATAAAAATTCTTACTAAATTATATCACTAACTACTTAATTAAGACAAATTAGATAATCAATTTATCCACTAATTATACTATTAATTATGTTAATCAATAATAAGTTAGAGGCGTCTAGCGCTTGCTTTTTGGTAGTTGCTGTTTGGCTTCGTTGCTTTGCAGGAGGTGTAGGAGGCACGAGTCTCTTCTTTGGATCTGTTGTTGTTCAAATTCACTCCTTCGACGACGGTCCCTTCCTGTTGGATCGGAAGTTACAACATTTTGATTGGAAGCGACGATGGGAGCTCGCTCTCTGTGAAGATAACTTTCTCCCTTTAGCGCTTCTTCGCCCAAATCCAGAAAATCTACTGAATTACCTGATTTAGTAAATCCAGGATTTGTAGAAAAAGAAGGGAAACAGAGGATTTATTCCACCGTGAGATTTACGGGGCATTAAAATCCCGTTTGGCAGGAGTAAGTGTAAATCCTGCTCAAATCCTTGTAGAAATCCTGTTGTCAAATAGCCCCTTAAGGTACTTTCAAGATAGTCTTCGATTTGAGGTGATGTCCAAAAAGTTCTTGTGCTGGATGACATTTGGGAGGACGAGCAGGAGAATGTGCTTGCCCCTTTGGCTTTTGGAACTTTGGCAAGTAAAATTTTGATAACAACTCCGATAGACTCAGTTGCTCTGATGTTTGCAAAGGTAACTAAAAAGAAGAAGGAAATAGTTAAATTAGATGGCCTAGGGGAAGGTGAGTGTTTGCAGCTCCTCAACTCTCATGCATTTGCTGGTGTAGAGAACCACCCTGATGATCATGAAAATTTATGAGTCATGGCTCGAGATATAGTTAAAAAGCTTTTAGGATCTACATTGGCTGCTAAGCTCATTGGTGGTGTTCTAAATTCTCTTGACTTGGATGAAATGCGTTGGAGGGAAGTTCTTAACGATTATTTTAAAGCTTACCTTAAAAATCAATTCAGATGGCAGACAGGCATGGAGGAGGAGCTTGCAAGGCTGAGAGAGAACCACCCCAAATTCAAGCTGTCATCTTTGCAGCTAACCAAGCACAAATCAATGATAAAAACGGGATCTCAACAAATGGATATAGCAGCTGCGAGATTCTATTGATGAGGCAGATGATGTCCTCGATGAGTTTGAGTACACAAAGCATAAAGAACCGGTCTTCAAAAACACGGAAGAAACAAAGCTTCGTTCCGCCACCACGAGTTTCCTATTTGATTCTGCTCGTGAATATATTTAATTTATTTGATAATCTATTTCTAACTAAAATGATCAGAAAAGAAAGTTCATGAGCTTCCGATTTGAAAGTCTGTAAAATTATCAAAATTGGCTAACGTGTTCTCAAAAAAGATCCCAATTTGAAGCGACTGGAGGAGGCTGTGCAGAAACTTGATAAAGTTTCGGTTGATGTTAGTACTTTCCTTCATCTTTTAGACAGCGGGAAGCAGGAACAGAAGGAGCAGGAGGTTGATTTCTACAAAACACGTGAAACAGGATCTTTGCCTAAAAATGATCTCATCGGGCGGCGCAAGGAGGAGCTTGTTATGGAATGGCTGAGAAATCCATCAAATGATCCTCGGACAACTTGGTACAGAAACATTTCTCTTCAATCTATAGTGGGCCATGGTGGTATGGGGAGACAACTCTCTTGAAACATATCTATGAAGATGAAATGACGAAGGAATTTGATCTTAAAATGTGGGTTTGTGTTTCCAACAACGTTGATGCTAAAGAAGTCATTGCAGATATGTTGGAACTTCTTAAAAAGGAGAGGCCTCGTTTGGAGAAACTTGAGGCACTTCAAGGGCCTCTCAAGAATGAGGTGATGTCCAAAAGGTTCTTACTGGTCCTTGATGACGTTTGGGAAGACGAGGAGGAACGGGATAAAAGTAAATGGGAGAATGTGCTCGCCCCTCTAGCTTCTGGGGGTTTTGCTAGTAAGATTCTGGTAACAACTCGAACTTGAACGGACTCAGTTGCACTGATGTTTTCAAAGGTAATTAAAAAGAAGAAGGAAATAGTAAAATTAGAGGTCCTAGAGGAAGATGAGTGTTTGCAGCTCCTCAACTCTCATGCATTTGCTAGTGTAGAGAACCCCCCTGATGATTATAAAAAATTAAGAGCCATTGCTGGAGAGATAGTTAGAAAGCTTTTAGGATCTCCATTGGCAGCAAAAGTCATTGGTGGTGTTTTGAATTCTAGCTTTGATTAAAGTCATTGAGCAAACGTTTTAAATAGTAATTTTTTCAGTGCAGAATTGGGTCGAAATGACATATTTCCCATCTTAAGTTTGAGCTATATGTTCCTCCCAAAGCATCTACAAAATTGTTTTGCATTTTGTTGTATATTTCCACAAGATCATTGGTTCGATAAAGATGATTTAGTACTAATGTTGATTGCATCAGGTTTCATTCTGCCACCTTGTATTCTAGGAGAGGCTGAGGAGGATATTGGAGGAAGGTATTTTGATGTTTTAGTCAAGAAATCTTTCTTTGACAATATTCAATTTCAACATATAACATATTACAAAATGCATGATTTACTACATGAGTTAACTATTTCTGCACAAGAATGCTTTAGAGTTTTTGGTGATGAAGAGTTGCTTTTTTCAATTCTTGAAACGATTCGACACTTGTCTGTTGATGTTAGCAATTTAAAAGTGCTAAAAAAGATTGAGAAATTTAAAAATTTGTGTACACTTTATTTGTATTATAGAGAAGATGACAAGATTTTGATGATGTACTGAAATTTTCAAAGTATCGAAAAGCATCCTTGCCGTACATTTATGCTCCGTGCCTAAAAACGGTACCCGAGGCAATTGGATACATTTTCGATACTTGAATATTTTTCAAACTTTACTGCCAAGATCATTCTCAAAGGACTGAAAGATTTGGGGCCTACAGAGAATTCCCAGCTCATATTCTACGAACTCATTATTAAGGATCCATCAGTGTTGCTAATGGAGCCATTGAGCACTATCACCTCCATTCAAAAGCTAGCATTTAAGGGTAATGATGAGTTGGTTTCATTTCTAGTTGAAACAGAGGGGAGGTTTCTCCAAGTTAACTCATACCTTCATGAGCTGAACTTTATAAGTTTGAAATCTTTGCAATTCCTCCCTTCCTCACTGACGAACTTTTATTTGGTCCGGTGTAAGAATGCAGAGGAACATCCGGTTGTAGGCAAAATCCCGCCTATACCGAGGTGTACCGAGTTTTTCCAAAAAACTCGGTACACCTCGGTATAGGCGGGATTTTGAGCTTTATCAATTAAGAACTAGAAAAATCTGATAAGAGGAACTTTATGAAATTGTCCTTAGAAGGGTAACATTGTTGTATAAGAGGGAGGAGGCAAAAATCCCATGTTTTTTGGAAAATTTTCAGGAAAACAAAGTGGGAGGGAGGTCTGGTTGTTTTTGGAGCTGAATACTTATTAAGAACTTGATGGAAGTGAAGCACAAAGAATATGGAAGGCATTGCAATGATTTGATTTCTTCAAGGTATAATTTTCTAGCTGTGTGAAGGGTGTGTAAATTCTATTTATACGCACCTTGTGTGTACAAATTATGTGGCTTCATTTTATTGGAGCCCAGATGCGAGCTATGTCCGGATTCTGCACCTGATAATTTCTCCGAAAAAAGATAAGTTAACTTGCAGAAACTGCTGCTCTAACTCATTTGAAAATGAAACTAACATTAATTTGCAGCGTTTGGATTTGGGAAGATTTCAAGCACATTATAGACTCAGACTTTTATTATGGGAAGTTGCTCAGGAAATTTGAACAACATAACAATCTAAAGAAACTGAGGATAAATGTTTACATGGGTGTCAGGTCTTCAATATCTAGCATTTCTTGAGAATATGGATTATTTGCGTTCTTACCTTCTTAGTCTTTCTTCTTTCTACAAAGATCACGGTCATATGGGTTTCATTTACTCAAGTTTTGGATCAAATAAGTCGAGCCTTGGGGAAAGAATAAAAGGAAATTTTTTTCATCCCCTTCAGCTATATGTATATTATTTATGGAAGGAACGTAATAGCAGGAAATATGACCATCACATCTCTTCTACTTCGTCTATTTTTAGCAGGATGCGATCTCAATGCTTGAAGAAAAAAAGTAGAGCATGAGCCACACTTCTATTTTTACTCTTGATCGGTAAGGAGTTCATCTGAAATGTTCTCTTTTTCAGATCAGTCGCTGCCTCCTTATTGAGAAATTTGTTTTGTTTGTTGTTGTTGTTGCTTTTATTTATTTTTAAGAGAGGGCTATGATGAGACATATGGCCCAAGGGGATCTTTGTAATGCACTTATTGTAATATTCAAAGCATCGAGAAGCCTACGCTTATTATACATAAGGGCTCCAAAAGACTTGGAAATAATACTCGAAGAGATTGGAAATTTGATACATCTTCGATACTTAAACATTGATGGTTATAATTTGACTATGCTGCAAAGATCCCTATGCAATCTCTATCACTTGCAATGCATAATATATTAGATCCGAGGGGTGCCAAGCGAATCTAAAGTTGATGATTTTTTACCAGAGAGGCATAAATAACCTTTCTAACTTGCGATATGTGAAATTGCCCGAGGATTGTATTTCATTGATATGTGGGATTGGGAAGCTAAATTCTCTTCAAGAATTGAATATGTTTGATCTTAGAGATGTGAGTGGTTATAGAATTGGAGAGCTGGAGAATAAGAATGATATTCACATTTTAGGAATCTACAACATTGAAAATGTGAAGGATGCTGAGGAGGCTTGTAGTGCCAAATTATGTGCCAAGAGGCTCACAGATTTAACCTTATGTTGGAGTAACACTGATTCGAGGAACATAGATTTATATGAGAATGTGCTTAACAACCTTCAGCCACCAAAATGTCCAAGGAATCTGAGCATAGAGAGATACATGGGTGCAAGGTCTCCAATATGGATGAACAATGTCAATTTGATCTTCAATATAGAAGAGATAAATGGGTGCAAGGTTTCTGTACAAGAATGCTTTAGAGTTGCTGGTGATGAAGAGTTGCTTTTTACAATTCCTGAAACGATTCGACACTTATCTGTTGATACTAGCAATTTAAAAGTGCTAAAAAAGATTGGGAAATTTAAAAATTTGCGTACACTTTATTTGTATTATAAAGAACATGATCAAGATTTTGATGATGCACTTGCTCAAATTTTCAAAGTATCCAAAAGCATCCGATTGCTGTACATTTATGCTCCGTGCATAAAAATGATACCTGAGGCAATTGGATATCTGATACATCTACGATACTTGAATATTTTTCAAACTTTACTTCCATGATCTTTAAGCAATCTATATCAGTTGCATTTCATAATCTATGAATCTGGGCAGCTTATTCCTCACAATTTCTTACCGAGGGGCATGAATAACCTTACAAATATGCATTACATGCAATTGCCCTGGGATGATTTTTCTGGAATGCATAGAATTGGAAAGCTAAACTCTCTTCAACAACTAGATGGATTTTATGTTAAAAATGAGAATGAATTCAGAATTGTAGAGCTGGAGCATATGAATGAGCTGCACCAATTAAGAATCAAACTTCTTGAAAATATGAAGGATGTCAAGGAGGCTTGTCGCGCCAAATTGTATGACAAGAGAAACCTCATAGATTTGTCTTTAGAATGGGTGAAATTAGAAACATTCTAGATGCTGAGAAATTTTAACACCTGCAAAGAGCAAACAGTAGAAAAACAAATCGGAGAAGAAGAAGAAGGAAGCAGAGTATTTGTTGTATTAATTCATTCTTGCATTTCTTAAGTTGCCGTGCTACAGTATATATCAGAGAGTTGGTTACAAGCCAACGGTAGTGATTAAATGGCAGAGATCTCACGGTTAGGAGACAACCGTACACAAGAGTGGAGCAGCCAATACCAATAGGTGAGCCGGCTTATCAATAAGTTGAGAGGCATATCAAACTATCTTATCAAGTTCCAGTACATCTTTTTAAGGCACAGTAGCCGGTGATGGACCGTTGATCGTCAGGATTGGTGGCCCAATCGGAGTCAGCATAGCCCGTAAGCTCAAGTGTAGAAGAATGAATGGGTAAACCGAGTGTCAAGGTACCTTTGACATAACGAAGGACTCGTTTAAGCAGCAAGTAGTGAGATTGCATTGGAGCATGCATATGCTGACATAGGAAATTAACGGCATACAATAAATCTGGTCTTGTCAGAGTTAGATATTGTAAAGCTCCTGTAATTTGACGGTAATGATCGGGACGATCATATGGACAGTCCGGTTGAACAGACTGGAAAAATTTGGTTGGAAGAGGTGTGCTTACAGGCTTACAGTCCGACATAGCTGCTTTACGAAGCAAATCAGTAGCATAAGCATATTGAGAAAGATGCATACCGTGATTAGTATAGGTAGCCTGCAGTCCAAGGAAGGAGTGTAAAGTTCCCAGATTTCGCATGGAAAATGTAGACTGTAAAGCTGTAAGAAGCTTTTGCATTTCCTCAGTTGAGTTTCCAGTAAGTAGAATATCATCTACATAGACTAGAATATATAATTGTATGGAATTTCTATGTAGAAATAATAATGAAGGATCAGCGGAGCTTGCTTGAAATCCATACTGCAGAAGATAAGAAGAAAAGGTAGAGAACCATTGCCGTGGAGCTTGTTTAAGACCATAGATTGCCTTCTTTAATAAACAAACATGATTTGGAAAGTGTGGATCAACAAAACCAGTTGGTTACTTCATATAAACAGTTTCTTGCAGTGGTCCATGAAGGAATGCATTTGAAACATCTAACTGTAAAATTGACCAGTTTCGGGTTACAGCCACTGTAAGCAAAATACGTATGGTAGGAAACTTGGCAACGGGACTGAACGTCTCTTGATAATAAATACCATACTGTTGTTTAAAACCTTGGGCAACAAGGCGTGCCTTATAGCGTGCAACTGAACCATTTGCATGAAATTTAGTTTTAAATAACCATTTGCAACCGAGAATATTCATGTCGGTAGTGTAAGGAACAAGAATCCATGTCCCCTGTTTTTGAAGAGCCTCAAATTCAGAGCTCATTGCTTGTCTCCAAACCAAATGTTGACTGGCTTGAGTAAAGCCAGTGGGACTGAGAGGAATTACTGGAGAATTCAAGTCCAGTATTTGACGAGGCTTCAGATGTCCCGTTTGAGCTCGAGTTATCATAGGATGTTTTGGTAAAGTTGAGACAGGAGGAGCATTGATGTCCGGAGATGTAGAAGGTAATGTAGAGCTGGGTGAAGTAGAAGTATGATCAGGTGTGGGGGGTTGCACAGAGTCAGAAGCAGCAGACATTGTGCTTGTTGCAGAAGTATATGGGGCAATGGCTGAGACAGGGATCAGCGTGGATGGAGGAGTATATGAAGAATTTTTCGAGGTTTGAATAACAGCAGAGGAAGACTGTTGTTGAAACGGAAAGATATGCTCATGAAAATGAACGTGTCTGGAGGTGTAGACACGGTTGGATTTGATTGCAAGACATTTGTAGCCTTTGGTTTGAGCAGCATAGCCAAGGAAAATGCAGGGTTCGGATCGGGGGGAGAATTTGTGAGCAACTTGGGTGGGAAACCAGGGATAGCACAAGCAACCGAACACACGTAGAGATTGATATGAGGGAGGCCGATTATAGAGAATCTCGTATGGTGAGTAATTATTGGTGATGTGGGATGGTAGGCGATTAATGAGATACACGGCAGTAAAAAGAGTATCTACCCAAAGAGATGTGGGTAAATTAGCATTAAAGAGAAGAGCACGCATGGTCTCAAGAAAATGCCTATGCTTACGTTCAGCCACCCCATTCTGTTGAGGTGTATATGGGCAGGTGATCTGATGTTGAATGCCATGGTGAGTTAAATGAGATTTAAAATGGTTATTTACATATTCTCCGCCCCCATCAGTACGAAGAATTTTAATTGACGTTTGAAATTGTTTTTCCACCATTCTTTGAAAGTGAATAAACTTGGAGAAAACATCAGATTTGTGATGTAACGGATACACCCAAGAGTAACGACTGAAATCATCAATAAAAACGACATAAAACCGATATGATTGCATTGATAAAGAGGGGGAAGGACCCCATACATCATTGTGTATAAGTTCTAGACACTGATTTGTGCTAGTAGTAGATAAAGGAAAAGGTAATCTAGTACATTTAGCTTTGGAGCAAGCATTACAATGACTAGAAACAGAACTAATACTAGTAGATAAAACAGGCGATAAAAGACGCAACGTTGAAGTAGATGGATGTCCAAGACGCTGATGCCAAGTAGCAGATGAAGTGGATGCAGCAAGCAATGCCGTGTTGAAGTTGTCGGAAGATGAAGGATTGGAGATCTTAATTGGGTAGAGTCCATGATGATGAGGTCCGTGGAGAAGAAGTTTGTTGGTCCGAGAATCCTTGATGGCAAAACCATTAGCATCAAGTAGAACAAAACATGAATTGTCATTTGTAAGTTTATGAATAGAAAGCAAATTATGAGATAAGTGAGGAACATGGAGAATGTTTGATAACTGAAGCTTACGGGATGGAGTAGGAAGCAAACCTTGCCCTGTGTGAGCTATGGACAGTTGCTGTCCATTACCGACTTGAACCTGTGAATTTCCATTGTATGGTTGTATGTTTTGTAACTGAGTCGGATTAGCTGTGAGATGTTCAGTTGCACCAGAGTCTAAAAACCAATCAGCATTTTGGTGTGAGTCTGTAGCCACATAGGCTTGCGGAGGAGTATTATATGAAGAATCATTTCGATACCAACAGTGAATGGCTGAGTGCCCCGGTTTGCCACAGATTTGACACTCAACTGCTGCTCGAGGTCGGCGACCACCACGGGTAGAATTAGAACGACCTGGAGCAGAACGACCTCCACGTCCGTCTGCACGTCCATCACCGCGACCATAATTTTGACGTCCTCGATAGAATGACGCTCGTCCACGAGATGTGCCTCTAGTTGCAGTAAGAGCATAGTTGGAATCTGTGGCAGGAGTTAAAGATTGTTCACGACTATGATCTGATGTAATGTGCAGTTCCTCACTGCAAAGCAGCGCATAAAAATCATCGAGAGAGATGGGTTGAAGTTGATTCCGAATCACAGCTTTAAAAGACTGATATGTGCCTGGCAACCCATTGAGTGTGTACAGAATAATGTCTTCTGTATCAATAGAGGATCCTGCGGCTGCTATAGCATCAACCTTAGTCTTAATCTCTGTGAGATACTGAAACATGGTTTTATCTCCAAGTTGAAGTTGATGCAATTCATTCTTTAGTTGAAGTAATCTGGAACGGTGCGTCGACTTCAGTCGAAGCTCAAGTGTAGTCCAGATTTCATGTGTAGACTCCAAGTTGAGAATATACGGCAGTAAGGAAGCAGATACAGTGGAGTAAATTGCAGAGGCTAAGTGCTGATCTATGAGCATCCAGGTGGTAAACAGAGGATTAACACGGACAGATCCGTCTATTCCAAGAATCTGCTTCGCCGGTTTTTCCGTAGCTCCAGTTAAGTATCCTTCATAGTTGTTTGCTGCAAACAACTTCAATAGTTGGGATTTCCATATCAAATGATTATCTGTGTTTAGTTGCACCGTCACCATGGTCTTGACATTGGCCATGAAAAATTTGAGTTGAGGTGGTATTGCAACATTGTCGGAGGCAGGTGGTGCATCGGAGTTGTTCGTCGGTGAGGAGGTTGACGACATTGTAGCAGACGAAAGAACAACCTACAGCTCTGATACCATGAGAAACTTTAATACCTGCAAAAGAGCAAGCAATAGAAAAGCAAATCGGAGAAGAAGAAGAAGGAAGCAGAGCATTTGCTGTATTAATTCATTCCTCATTTTCTTAAGTTGCCGTGCTACAGTATATATCAGAGAGTTGGTTACAAGCCAACGGCAGTGATTAAATGGCAGAGATCTCACGGTTAGGAGACAACCGTACACAAGAGTGGAGCAGCCAATACCAATAGGTGAGCCGGCTTATCAATAAGTTGAGAGGCATATCAAACTATCTTATCAAGTTCCAGTACATCTTTTTGGCTTTTTTCCAAACCCTACTAATAAGAAAGTTGGCTTTGGAAATGTATGAAAAGAATTTTATGATATAACACCCCTTCATTTATTATATATCCAAAACTCACATCCACTTCATTAAGGTTTTGTTTGCAACAGCTTTCTTGTTGCTTCATAAAGTAGCTTTCTAGTGCAAAATTTAAATTTTGCGCTATAAAGCTGATTTAATAAGCAGTAAGAAAGCCGTTCCAAACGGAGCCTAAGACTCGCATACCTATTGTGGTCTTCCCATTCATCTTTGATTTTATTGCCATTACACTCGATGAAGTTCAAGATGAATTGCTCCCTCTTAGAGGCATTCAACATATCATTAGCTTAGTACTTTGATTTTAAACTTTCCAACTTTCTCATATAGGATGAACTCCATTGAACATGTTAAGATAAAAAAGATAAGCTAATGAATAACCAAATGGAGTTATTCTAGTACTTGCTTTATTAACTCCTAATAAAGAGGGCACATGGAGAATGTGTGTTAATAGAAAGTCAATGATAAGTTAATATGTTTCATATTCCATTATTAGATAATATATTGTATTTAATCTCAGTAGCCATTTATTTTTTCAAAATTGAATAGAAAAATTGTCATCATTAGATTAGGATTAAAATTAGAGATGAATGTAAAACAACTTTCACATTCCATAATTATGAATGGTAAGTTATACCATTTGAAATTTCTAATGCATCGAGGAATATGAACAATATTCTCATAAGCAAATTTTTGGTGGTGTATTTTGATGATATCTTGATTTTAATCCTAGTGAATAGGGACACTTGCAACATCTTCATCAAGAAATTTATATAGCATGTCATCTTAAAATCTAATTAATATATCTACATTATATATAAATTAATATTTATAAAAATGCCTTTCAATTATGTTTTTTTAATAAAATTTCTATATCAATTTCTATTTAAAAAATAAATATTAAATTTAAAAACTTTTTTTAGATATTTTTTATCCATATTTTTTTAAAAATTATTTAACTACTTTGTCGTACAAGAGCTAAAAGCATTACTGCATCACTAGGTTAGGTCAACTACATTCACAGTTAAGTGTACATAGAGCATAATCACCTGATAATCTGTTTGCGCCCTTTGATTCTACTTGATCTTTCATTGAAGATATTCCTTAAGGCATACCATGACTAAGATTTTGTTTGTGATAAATTTAAATTTTGTACTATACAGCTGCTTTGATAAGCAGTAAGAAAGCCGTTCCAAACGGAGCCTAAGACTCGCATATCTATTGTGGTCTTTCCATTCATCTTTGATTTTAGTGGCATTACACCCGATGAAGTTCAAGATGAATTGCTCCCTCTTAGAGGCATTCAACATATCTATTTGCGCGCTTTGATTCCACTTGATCTTTCATTGAAGATATTATTTAAGGCATACCATGACTAAGA